GTTGTTATGTGCCGTGGAGTCGGTTCCGACTCATAGCGATCCTGCACAGGGTTTCCGAGGCTGTAAATCTTTACGGGAGCAGAAAGCCTCATCTTTCTCCTGTGGAACAGCTGGTAGTTTCCAACTGCTGACCTTGAGGTTAGCAGTCCGACTGTAACCACTACATTACCAGAGCTCTCTCTGTGAGCTAAATGTGAAGCTCTGGGGAAAGGATAAGTTTATTTACAACCTTGCTAGACAAGTGTAAGAATTTATATTGAAACTAAGCCTTTTCATAATATATTTCAATGTAATAATTTTATCCACTTTTCTAATAAAACTTTATGCAGAAGGTATTCATTATCATCAGTGATATAAAATGGTTACCAAAAAACTGAAAAATGTTTTGTTGATGTTGATTGTATTTAGAAGTGCTTTTTATGTAATGTCACTTTGAATATGATGTTAGTATTGATAAGTGACTTGACTTAGAGTTAGTTCTGAAATTGATACGCCCTTGCTTCAAAGTCAAATAAATTTTTCAAAAAGAGATGAACCAGATTTGTCACTGTGGATGTGAATTCAAGGGAAGATTATTTTTTTGCTCATCAATTCAATAATCAGAAAGCTTTGAAATATGTTTGGAAAAACGCATAGAATTGTAAATGGAGTAGATTTGGGTTTTGTGATAAATTCCTAGAGTCAGTAGAATACAACATATAGAAGAAATGGAATATATTACCAAGAGAGCAATGAAGACAAAGAAAAGTCAAAATTTTGTCACCCACAAAAAGAAAATAAACCTAAGGATACGACAACATTTAGGGGAAATAATAACTACTATGAAGAATTTGAAAGTCTATCATGTAATAGGAATTAGAATTATTCTGCATGGCTCCACAAAGTAGAACTAACGTCAGTAAGTGAAGATCATAGGGCAATATATTTTGAAGAAGTTTTTCAAACAACTGCCCTAATTTTTAAAATGAACGTTTTAGCAATTTAATATAGATTAAAATTTCAATAGAGATTAAAAAATAAAGGATATAATATTTTGTGTTTGTTTTAATCAACAACAAAAAAGCCTTCCTAGTACTCAGGGCTGCCCAGACTTAGGATGGAATGCCTCAAAAGGCAGTGAGCTCCCTCTCACCTAGAGTTCTCCAGCTGATGACGTGACCAACTAGTGGGAACAGTACAGAGAAGACTCAGGCACCAGAGAGACATTTGTACTGAATTACCTCTTGGTTCCTTCTAATCCTTGAATGGGAGTCCTGATGTGGCACTGTTGGATAAAGTGCTAAACCCCAAGGTCACTTTGAACCAAAAGGTCAGCGGTTCAAACTCACCAGCTGCTTCTTGGAAACCCTATCCAGGGCCGCTATGGGTCGGAACTGACTCGGTGGCACTTAACAACAACAATCTTTGATTGAGTCCTGGTGTGGCACTGTAGGATACTGTGCTAGACCACAAAATCGGTTAGAACTGCAAGGTCGGCAGTTCAAACTAACCAGTCACTTCTTGAAATCCTATACAGGGTTGCTATGAGTTGAAACCAACTTGATGGCACTTAACAACAACAACATTCCTTGGATTGGAGTCCTGGTGTGGTGCTGTGGGATAAAGCACTAAACCCCAAGGTCACTTTGAACCACAGGTCAGTGGTTCAAACTCACCAGCCACTCCTTGGAAACCCTATACAGGGTCTTTCTGAGTTGGAATTGACTCAACAGCACTTAATCGAGGCAATAATCCTTGGATACTTTGTTTAGAACTTTGCCCCTATTCAACCAAAATACAAATGTACTTCTTCCGAGGTAAAGAATCTAGAATAGAAAAACTACAGTGTGGCACTGTAGGATAAGTACTGGACCTATAGTGCAAGGTCAGCAGTTCAAACCCATGAGCCGCTCCTCGGAAACCCTATGCAGGGTCACTATGAGTCAGAACTGACTTGACAGCACTTAACAAAAACATGCTGTTTTAGGACTTTTTTCTTTTCTGCTGTCAAAACTACAAAGAATTCTTTATATATAAATTATTTGTATATAATAATTGGTGTATAGCTTCCAAGACTATACACAAATAATAGAAGCATTTCTTTCTGATGTTCTCCACACTAAAAATGCTAGGGTAACTATTTAACCAGACAACTGAGAAGAGTAAAGAAATGGTAATTCAGGTAGACTCAAAAAAAATTAAAACATAAGAACCAAGTTTACATTTAACAGTAGGACAACCAAAACAAAATGATTCAAGCAGCATAGAAACTGACCATCTGAAGTGTGAATATATGATATCTAACCTGTAGGCTGAGTTGAAATTTAATTTACTTCATATGGTTTGCTTAGTTTGTTTATATCAGATTAATGGATATTTTCTCAATGAATATGTAAAACTACGCTCAGTTTATTTCTGATTCTCCCGTAATTAAAGCAAAAATCTCAAAATGTGATAAGACTAGAAGTCCAGTGAGAGAAGTGCATCCTAGAATTCAACTAAAATAATAAGTAAAGTGTTCGGAGTTCCACACTGATGACCTTACTTGTCAACATAAGAAGAAATGCAAAGTAGAACAAGATATCAGACAGCAACTCTTTTGCTCCCATGGCATAATTTACTCACCCTAATCCTGGTGTGGTGCTGTGGTTAATGCAGTGGACTGCAAAGTCAGTCTGAATCTCAAAGTTGGTGGTTCAAGCTCACCAGATATTCCTTGGAAACACTATACAGGGTTGCTATGGGTACTTAACAACAACAATCTAACAACCCCCATTCAGAACTCCTGGTGTGACATTGTAGGATAAATAGTGGACCTGGTGTGGCGCTGTGAGTTAATGCGTCAGACTGCAAAGTCGTTTGAACTACAAGGTCGGTGGTTCAAGCTCACCAGCTGCTCCTCGGAAATCCTATACAGGGTCGCTATGAGTCGGAAACGACTCAACGCCAGTTAACAATTCCCATTCAGAGGAACTTTGGTGATGTAGTGTGGTAAGCGTTCGGCTGCCAACCACAAGGTCAACAATGCAAATCTCTGGAGAAAGATGAAGTAGTCTGCTCCCATAAAGAGTTAGTCTCAGAAACCCAAAATAACAGTTCCCTATGTCCCACAGGGCTGCTATGAGTTGGATTCGACTCTATGGCAATGGGTTCGGTTCAGTTTTGGAAACCCCGTTCTGGAGCCCTGGTGGCACACTGGGCTAATTGTTGGACTGCTAACAGCAAGGTCAGTAGTTCAAACCCACTTCTTCTGTGAAAGAAATGAGGCTGCTACTCCCATAAAGATTTCCAGTCTCTGAAACCCTGGGGAGCAGTTCTATTCTGTGCTAGGGGATTGCTATGAGTAGAATTAAGTTGATGGTAGCAAGTTTTTGTTATCCCAATTCACTCAGATCATAAGCATTTTATCTCCTTTACAGTAATATTTACTTTTAAAAACATATGTACTTTTCCAAATTCTGAGAACACTGCCTTGGGATACAGACCTAGAAGCTGCTTCTGGAGCACTTCCAGTACAAGTTTGATCTTTGCAAAAACTTCAGATGGTGATGGATGTTCCAAGTCAGTCATCACAGATTCAAAGCGAAAGATAACCACGTTCGGCTGGCTCTCTATCATAGCATGAAGGGATGGACATGATACCAGGGGCTTAAGGATATGTTTCAGCAGCATCTTCCCTAAAAAAAATCATACGAATACTCATCAAAATTCATATAGAGAAATTCTAGACAATAAGTATGTTAAGAAAAAAAAAAGAAAAGCTCTTAGGGCCTAACAACATATATATAAAGAAAAGCTCTTAGGGCCTAACAACATATATATATATATATGTTGTTAGGCCCTAAGAGCTTTTCTTTATATATACCAGCACATTACAAACCGACAATTAAGCACTATAGGTTTTCCCATTGGAGTTTCCCAGAATGTCTACAGATTTTCATTTAAATTACTCAAAGAAACAAAATAAACTGGAGCAACTAGTTTTTAAAAAATGAGAGAAAAAAGAAAAGGGAAGAAAGGATCCAAGCCCTAAATAAGGTAATATTTATGACAATTTCAAATGATGAATCAAGAGACCAAACCCTATGATGCTTGGATGATACTCCAGAGAGTCTTTTACAATCTCTTTTGTTATCCCTTTAACTTTGAGACTTCTGAGACTTCATGTAAATGAAACAAAATAATATGCTTTACCAAATGATTTTAGCTTGGTGTGTAGCTCCCCAAGAACAGAAAATGCCAGGAGAACAGAACTTATGGGTGGCACAGGGGTGTTCTCATCTTTCTGGGACTGTTCCGTGCACAAATGAAGCTCTGTTTGTAGGTAAGATTCCAAGTTGGTGGTGTCTAAAAAAAGGGGAGCGAGTGTATCAGTTATCTCAGCAATGTAAGATATGCCCACTTCTCTACTGAGAGCCTAACTAGATGTTTTATTACAACATATTTCTAAAACAACGACGTATTAGTCATGACATACGCGTCCTTGGTACCCCTTCGCAACAGGTAATGACTTTTTGTTGTTGTTATTTTGGTATTCAAAGAACAAACTAAGACCAACCTGGAGGAACTAGAAGAACAGAAGATACTTCTTGAAAGAAAGACCAACAGGAAAAATACAAAACAATAACAGCAGTCCAAATGATTACCACAAGAACAAGCAAGTTGCTCACCCAGGAGACATCAAGGCAAGTGGTCAGGTCTCCTCAGGGCAAACCCCTTCCAAGACTAAGACTCAATGGGAATACACGAGCAGACATGTACTTTGGTGACCACATTCATCACCAATAAGGGGAAGTGAGGGAAAAACAGCAATGAAGCTACGATCTAAGCCCTACAATGTTCAATAGATTCCTGTGAACCCAGGTGAAGACCTGGTTGCCCAGCAGTGTGACTCTTGGGCCCAGAGTCAGTGACATAGCCACAGAGGACTAGAGTGGAGAGTGAAGCGTCCAGCTGATAAGAAGAGAGGGCATATGCATAAGAACACCCACACTTACAGATAATACCCACTTGACCTGGCTTCAATGACTGGCTGATCAGAGCTCAACTAGAAGAAGAGGAAAAAAAAAAGAGCAATCTGATAAAAATATGATGAATTTGACCTACATGTACGGATGCAGTAACTCAAGAGACACAACAAATCTTTACAGTGAGGATCATTCACACCCAACCCCCCATACACAGAGTAGACAGGAATGGGCAACTTGGACATTGGCTACCCAAAATTGGGGGGGGGGGGGTGCGGTAGAACTACAAAGGCAAAAAAGTGACTGGCTTGTAAGCTTTCAAGAGGGAGCCTAGATCCAGAGGGCATGGAGGAAGGTAGAAACTCCACTGAGTAGTATCCAATCTGTCTGGGCAGGATTAATGAAAGGAGATGGGGATAGGTCCCTTGTGGTACAATGGTGAATAATTGTTATCAGGACTGACTGTGAGGGTTAGAAATGTTAAGGTAGACGTTTAGTAGCAAAAGAAAGGAAGTGATTGGGATTGTAACCATGGCAATGAAACGATACATGACAGGATAAACTTAAAGCTAATAGTCTCCCATGTAAACTATCACATAATTCACAATAAACATATATTTAAAAAAAAAAAAAAAGAACAAACTAAGTGCAAAAGCAAGAGATGTGCCCATGATCAATGCTTACTAAATAGGAGCTCAAGAACTAAATCATGGCAAGGAATGAAAAGTGAGGAACTAGCTTCACTTACGTCCTCCTCTTCTATGTTCTTTCTTAACAAAGATACAGGTTAAGTCTGTTGTAACAAATAGTCAACAACCTGCCATTTTCCCTCAAAGTCAGCTTGGGACAGAATCTTAAGAATTTCTAGATTACATCCTTCAAAATACACACATACACAATAATGCATCTGGAGGCCAAAGTGGATATAGCAAAGGGAACATTGAGGAGAAGGTTGAGGTTTCCCCTGAAATAAACATAATTGCAAGATCCAATGTTGGAAAATACAAGGGGGCTTTAAAAAGGTAATACAAAAAATGGAATCAAAAGAATTTTCCCACAAACTTTTTGAAGCCCCCAGTATACCAAATTTAATGGTATTCCCTTTCCACAAACTGAGGTTTTACTTTACGTGCAAGCAAGATATCAAAGGGGCTCTTACCCAGAGATGGGCAGAGGAGCTGAGAGCCAAGAAGCATAAATCAAACTCAAGGCCAGAGCAATCCATTTTTATCATCTGTAAAGTACCTCTTATCCCAGGATTTTGTCACAATTTTTCTTCCAACAACTGAAAAACAATTGAGCTAAACTCCTCTTCTATCCAAAGGCACACTGACATTTCATATAAATTAGGTTTTTAAAAAAAAAAAATTTTTATATTAAATCCTTTTCTGGATTTTAAAAACTTTTAGAATCTTTGTGCCTCCCTTATGGCCAGTACAAGGATGACTACACAGCTTCTTTAAGTTTTCCCCTCAAGTTAAACTGTTGGGATTTGGGCTGTGGAGAATGGGTACAGCCTATGATGCAGTAGAGACTAAGTATGGCCTTTAAACAGCTACCACCTCCTCTACCACATGGACCCCACCCACCCAAATCATCTCTCCTCACTTTCCTAGGAAAGGGGACAGAAAAAAAGAGACATAAGGAAATTAAAGTAAGGACATTTGGACCCTCAGATAAGTAGCTCCCAACAAAGCATTATCATGTTGCTTAATGTGATAACTCAATACAGACTTGGGAAATTAATGAAAGAAACCTTTTCATCTGCCAATATAAAATAGTTAGAATATATTCTGAGGCCAAACTGGTTGGGGCAGATTAAGCAAAGCATCGGCCTGAGGTCAGCAGCACCTTTTGATGGTGGGAACTTCCATACAATCAGCTTCTGCCACTCTTCTCCAAGGTGATAAAGTATGTTCTGTTTCTGAATTGTGAGCTCCATGCTGAGAGATTTCAACATTTTTAAATCAAAGCACTTTCTGGATTTTAATAACTTCAAGCATTTCTGTGCCTGGTAGTGAAATGGAATCATTGTTAAACATCCCATCTGGATTCAAGGCAATTAGAATATACCTGTATAAGGATAAGGAATATAGGGGACACAGAGTTTACTAAAAACAAGAACCATACTAATTGCTCATTCTCTGGGGAAAGGGTTTAGTACCTCCTCCAGATGCTGGGCAGCACTGACGTATTTCTTCTCTGCTAATGCACAATTATATTCTTCAATAGAAGTAGAAAACTGAAAAAAACAAGTATAAGTTGTTAGCTATTTTTTCACACCTATATTTCTATTTGTTTGTATTTAAAATATGAAGGAAAAAAAACAAACAAAACCGCCATAAAGTCAGGGGTTACCCACTGAAAAATGGTACTAATTGAAAAACTAATAACTTTCTTATGACTAAAGCACCAGAGCTTGAGGTATGTTTACTGACCTCTTGGAGCTGTTTCAGCAGACTCAGGATGACTGAATCTCTTTCCAACTGTTGCTTCAATTCTGTAAATTCAGCAGTTGATACATGGAGATCTCGGCGGACCTAATTCACACACCAAAGACAAGTGCTTGTATTTATGAGATCAAGCATTTCCAGCTAATCAGGACCTGTTATTAGATCAATATAATTCACACGGAAATGTAATGCTGGTTCAGAGGAATGTAAACCACAAAGTAGCATAGGAAGAGACCTTAAGAGGTCCCTTTAGTTCAAGCCCTTATCCTATGCAGGAATACTCACACTCATCAACATCTTTAAAATGTTTAAGAGCAAAGATGTCACTCTGAGGACTAAAGTATCCCTGATCCAAGTCATGTTATTTTCAATCACCTCATATGCATGGGAAAGGTGAACAATGAATAAGGAAGACCAACAAATTGATGCCTTTGAATTATGGTGCTGGCAAAGAATACTGAATATACCATGGACAGCCGGAAGAACGAATAAATCTATCTTGAAAGAAGTACTGCCAGAATATTCCTTAGAAGCAAGGATGGCAAGACTTCACCTCACATACTTCATACAAGTCATTAGGAAGGACCTGTTCCTGGAAAAAGACATCGTGACTGGTTGAGTGTCAGCAAAAAAGAGAAAGACCCTCAATAAGATGGACTGACACAGTGGCTTCAACAATTGTGATGATGGTGCAAGACCAGTGTTTCGTTCTGTTATACATAAGGTTGCTATGAATCGGAACCAGCTCGATGATACCTAACAACATCAACATAGAGTCCTCATGTCACTATCCAGTCTAACTGTAAGCAGTTATCGTTCATAGAGTTCATCCACCTGGACTACTCAAAGGGCATCCACGTGGTTGAGTGATAACTCATTCTACAGTTGGACAGCTCTACTTACTGTTTTGTTTTGAAAAAAAGATAGCTCTATTAGAAACTTCTTTTTTATGTTCAATCAAAATTCACCTCCCATCCTGTCCCACATGGAATACTTGCAGATTCCCAAAAATGGCAACTCTCAATTACCTCCATGCCCCTACAGTGGTGGTGGTGGTGGATGTGTACCACCAAGTTGATTTTGACTCATAGCGACCCTGTATAGGGTTTCTGGGGAGTGGCTGGTACATTTAAACCACCAACCTTGTGGTTCATACTGATCTTGTGGATCATAACGACCTTGCAGTCCCAGTGATTACCCTACAGCACCACCGCATCCAAAGTTGCACTACAGACTCATTGATCAAATAATCAACTAAGTACAAATACACTTGGGGATTATTGTTTGAACTTTGGCAGGGTTGTATAATCTCTCATTAGGATGATTGGTGAAAGGCTGTTAAATTTTCTAGGTAATCTAATAGCTTCCCTACTTGTGATTCAAGTTTTACAAATAACTTTTGAAAAACACATTTGTGCATTTTCCTTCTTTAGTAATTCACAAAGAGGACATATTTGAAGACTTTCCTTGGTATGAAGGAATTCCAAAATACCTCAACATGATTATTGTGGATATCAATGAGTCCTGAGTATCAATTTAGAATTAGATGTAAAGGACACTTAAGACTGGAATTTGTTTAAGTTTCTGATATCAACTCCCATTCTTTGGACTGTTTTCCCTAATGGAAAATTTACAGGAGAAAAATCCTAGTGAAATAATGCATGCTTTTAATAATTATAAATGGTTTTAAATTGTGAAGTGGGTATTCTACTTCCAGACTGGTTTCCTTCTTTTTGTGCTCCTGCAAACATAGTTGTTGTGTTGTTAGGTGCCATTGAGTCGGTACCGACTCATAGAGCCCTATGTACAACAGAACGAAATACTGTCCGGTCTTGGGCCAACCTCACAATTGTTGCCATGCTTGAGCCTATTGATGCTACCACTTTGCCAATCCATCTCACTGGTAAGCAGTTCTAAAACCTGCCAGACTTTCCCTAAGAAGTAAAGCAAGCACTAGCTACACCAAGTGACAGAGTATAAGAAGAGCACGATTTTCTGCACAGGGAAATTGGCTTTATGACATGAAGTAGAGTACTTGTCTATGCCACCCAAGCTAGTTTCCCAGAAGACAGCCAGGAAAGAACCCCATGCAGAGTTTCCCATAAATCTTTACAGGAGCAGAATGCCTTCTCCTTCTAACATGGAGTATTGCTGACCGTGAAGTTAGCAACCCAATGTGTAGCCCACTATGCCACCCTAAAATCACCTCGTTCGGCCTCCAACATTTACCAATCAGGAAAGTAAGTCTTGAAAAGTCAGACAGAACTGAGCTGTATAAGAAGTCAGGTAGGAGGAAGCTCAACTACCTCCCTACAAATCTAATCAATATAACAAACGAATCTTACCTCACTCTCTATCCGGGACTTCAGCTGGTCAATGTCATCAGATAGTTTATCCACCTGGGTAACCAGGTCTTGTGCACTTTGCATGCTAGGCAAGAATTCACTGTACTTCTTGCTGATCATACTGCACACCTCACTCTATAAAGCAGAAAATGAAATGAGCAGTGAGCCCCAGTATAAGTATCCAACTTGTCCTCCATAACGCACCTTCCATATTGGAGCCTTCTTGCCAGTTATCCATACCCATTGACTTTTCTTCCAGACAATGGGTTTTTTTGAAAAACACATTTCTCCTAACTTTAACATAATGTATTATCAGGGTGCAAGAAAGCATAATTCTCAAACCTCAACAGTGACCATGAGTTATACAAACACTGGAAAAAAACAAAGCTGATGCCAGAAGGTCTCCTATCAATTTTAGCTCAGATTATAGCCATCAACATTAATCATATCGTAAAACAGAAAGAAAGTAAATGGGCAAACTAGATCCATAGTCTACATACCTCAATTTACTCGTTTCCCTCTTCTTAACTACATTTTAAGAACTAATTTTAAAATCTTAAAACCTAATACAACTTGAGTTTTATCATCTCATTTAATGCAAATTAATTCAATAAATTACTGAATACTTACTATGCATTCAATGATTTGGAAGAAACAAGAATAAAATTAATGCTTGCCCACAAATGACTTCCTTTTAGGTAAGAAAGCTAGAAACACTTAAGAAACCAGAACACAGGGCAGATAGTGCAACAGAGTTACAAAGTCCTTCAGAATCACAAGTGAGAAAGCTACACTCTGCTGGAGGAAAAATGAGACTGTTTGGGGTTTTTTCCATGATGGAGACAACCTTCTAAATGGAACTTGGTAAAAAAGGTAGAAATACAACACGTAAAAATCGAGAAATGCCGATGGAGGCAAAAGAGGGGCAATGTAAGTAAAATCTAGGAGGTAGAAAAAAATGGGAGTTTGGAGCATAGAAAGGAATTCTTTAAGAGTAAAGCAGAGAGAGAGTGCATGTGTCTTGTTTTTTTATAGAAAGTAACTGGCAGTGCAAATTCATCAGATGCTCCTCAGGAAGGCACTTAACAACAACAACAATTCTCAATTAAAGGGTAAGGAAACGTATGTGCGTGCATGCATGCGAACATGACTCTGCATGTGTGTGTGTGTGTGTGTGTGTGTGTGTGTGTGTGTGTGTGTGTGTGAAATCCTATGACTATTTCAAAGGAAATCCAAAGGGTTTGGTAGTTACAATTATACCCTTTATGTGTATAAAATTCTATGAATACTTATAGGAAATCAAAAGGGTTTCTTAGAACTATAGCCTGTGGTTTTATGGTATGGACCCAACCTTGCTCCCTCCAATCCAGATTTCTGTGGGTATACACAATTTTATACCAAAACAACAAAGATGTGGGCACCTTTGAAAAGATGGTAAAATGTGTGCTTTTTGTTTTTACATCAATTGAACGCAGCAGGGTCTGCATAAGTATCAATCATTTTGTTGTTTTAAATTCTCGGCATAGTCTAAAGGGTTTGGGGTTAGAGAAGAGCTTAATAAACATGTCTGTAAGTTTTAACATAAAAAAATGTCCACAAGGAGGATGGCACAATCCTCCCAGGGCTGTTAGACTCATCGACAAGAGTCGAGTCGGGTCCTGTCCTACCCATCCCCATAGGCCCATTCCCTACAGACCTCTGTGCTTCCGGTCCCACCTCCCCTGTCTCCTGGGCCCGCACCATTCCTCCTTCCCTACTCCACGCCTCCCCAGCCGAACCACACTCCCTAACATTCCCCCAACCAGCACCTCTTCTGCCGCAGTCCCCAATGCCACTTGGCCTCCGGTTCCCAGTCTCTTTAGCCCGCTCCTCATTCTCCCCGCCTTGGGGTCAGGGCGTCCCCACACTGTCTGCCCCTGGCACCCACTCCTCTCTCCAGTCCACTAACCCGCGCAACCGAAGTCCTTTGCAACTCGCCCTCACCTTGATCTCCTCCACCTGTCGGGTCAGGCGGCTGATCCGAGTGCCCAGATCCTCCTTCTCCAGCCTCCCTGAATGTGCTAGGACTTCGGTCACGAACGAGGCCATCTCCACGACCAGTACCAACGTTGACAGGGTCGCTGTATTGTCGCCAGCGCGGCGGCTCCAGTCCCGCCGGCGGCTTGGCGCGCGGCTTGTCGGGAAACTGAGTTTCGCGGAGCCCAGTCACTACATGGAAGACGACGTCTACACTACAATTCCCGGCAGGCCGCACGCCAAGCTTATTGAGGGAGTTCCACAATACCCGGTAGTTGCAAACTATAGGGAGACGCGTTTTCCATCTCAGCAATTTTCAAATAGTTTACGCCTTCCCGCCCAGTTTTCACTACCAGAAATGAAATCTTATCTAATAACCAGAGATAACTGGCCCTTTCTCATCTTCAAAATGCTTCCCTATGAAATTATCTAGCTGGAAGACCCATAGAGTCCAGTGCAATGTTTTTTCTTTAAATATTCATTCTGTCACTGAGCTGCAATGGCTATTAGCGTCTATATATATGAATGATGCCCTCTGGATTTGTGCTATGAATGACGTCAACCCATTATAAGTAAGAGAATGTATGTAATTGGGTTCCTTTTAAATAGTTTATATCTATGCGCATATATTGTTAGGTGGTGTCAAGGTGACGCCAACTCATGACACCACGTGACAGCCTAGACCAGCCCTCAGGATTTTCTAGGCAGTCCTGGTGTGGCGCTATGGGTTAATAAGCCAGGCTACAAAGCCAGGCCGTTCAAGCGCACTAGCTGCTCCTCGCAAACCCTATCCAGGGTCGCTATGGGTCGGAATCGACTCAACGGCACTTAACAACAACTGGTGTGGCGCTGTGGGTTAATGCGCTAGACTGCAAAGCCGTTTGAACTTCAAGGTCGGCGGTTCAATCTCATCAGCTGCTCCTAGGAAACCGTATACAGGGTCGCTATGGGTCGGAACCAACTTGAAGGCATTTAACAACAACAACAACATCCTTAGGGAGGGATCTTCCTCATTTTCTCTGACCTTCCACCTTACCAAACATGATACCCTTCTCCAGCAAATGGTCCCTCCTGACAATATGTGGAAGACCCCCAGCGAGATGGATTGGCAAAATGGCAGCATCAATGAGCTCAAGCGTGGCAACAATTGTGAGGTTGGCCCAGGATCGGGCAGTGTTTTCTTCTGTTGTGCATAGGGTCGCTATGAGTGTGTACCGACTCGATGGAACCTAACAACATCCTTAGGGAGGAGTCTTGGCGTGGCGCTGTGGGTTAATGGGCCAGACTGCAAAGCCCTTTGACTGCAAGGTCGAGGGTCAAACTCACCAGCTGCTCTTTGGAAACCCTATACAGGTTAACTGACTCAATGGCAACAGCAATCCTTAGGGAGCCAATGGACAGGTCCCACAGAGCTATTCGGTGGGTTTGAACTGCCAACCTTTCGGTGGTGACTGAGTGTTTAACTGTTGCGCCACCAGAGTTCCTTGCATATACAAAAGTAAAAAAGTGTTGCTACTACGGTTCCAGTTCATACATGCTAGTTTTACTCCAAACAAGACATGTTTGTATGATGGATGCAAACAAGGTCTATTAATAATACACTAGTGATAGTCTTGTTATGGACCCCTGATATGGTGCTGTTAGATCAGCACAGGACTCCAAACCACAGCAGTTCAAACCTACCAGATGTTCCTTGGAAATCCTATACAGGGTCGCTATGAGTTGAAACTGACTCAATGGCACTTAACAAGTCTTATAGGATGCCTCAAAAAATCCAATCAAAACAGTGGCTTCTAAGGTGATCTGCTGGGCCAATTCAAGACAAGGAGGTCAGCTCAGAGGTTATGGTAACAGTTTTTATAGGACTCCAAAACGGTGATCTTGACCGATTTTCTCAAAGGACGATCATGGGGGCCTTTTTAAGAAGTTGTAAGAAAACTGAAAATTGCATTGGTGAGAAAAAGGCCAGGAAAGTTGCACTGAGGATTTTTCCCCCCATCATAGCAACACACCTGCTCATTCTTCAAGGGTAACAAGGACCATCCTGTAAGAATTGCGTTGGGAAGCCTCACCTCATCCACCCTTCAAACCTCTTTTTATCCCCAAAACGCAAAGAACATTTCAAAGAAACACTATCTGAGTATCTCGAGATTGACCAGAATATGAATTGAAGAGCTCAGCATTCTTCAGGGGAGAGTTAGACAGATGGAAACATTGCCTTCAGAAGTGTACGAATAGATGGAGGGTATGTGGAGCAACAAGAGACTCACATTTGGATATTTCTAATAAAAGTCTCTAGTATTTTGTAGCAATATTTTCTTTACTTACTCTCATGTTAAAACAATAAAAAACACACACCAGTTGCTGTGTGGTTGTGAGTCATGGTGGTCCCATGGGTTTCAGAGTAGAACTGCATTCCATACGGGTTTCAACGGTTGTGACCTTTCTTTTGGGAATAGATCACCAGCTCTTTTCTCCCAATCTTTCTTCCTCGGCTTTGATTAAAACCAGCAACCATTCAGTTCCCACCTGAGCACTTGACCAGTCTGGCAACCCAGGGACTCCTTATTCAGATTATGAGGTATAAGTCATTAGCCCTGTGTGGACTAGAACAAGAAACTTAGTACCTTTCCTCAGAGATTCCTTGTGGAGTCAGTTCCAACTCATAGAGTGCCTGCAAGGCATAGAATGGCCCCACAAGGTTGCCAAGGCTGTAATCTTTACGGAAGCAGACTACCACATGTTTTGCTTGTGAGTTCAAACCACGGACCTTTTGGTTCTCAGGCGAGTACTTGGAGCACTGCACCACCATGGATGGGTTGAATGAGTGCATGTTTGAAGCTATGTGATGGGACATGGGATTTCTTTATACCATTTGCTCTACATCTATTTGAGGGGGCTTCAAAAAGTTCGTGGGTACGTGGAATTAAGAGACAATTTTTCCAAATTTTTTAAACCAACTCGTATATGTTTGAAATCTTCTGTAAGAAAAATATAAGAAAAAGGAGCATTCCAGGTGGTTCTGTTCACCGCCCTCGGCCCCCGCACACCATGTGATATTCAGTGGTATACTAGGATGCTTAGACTTTGAGACATTCGTCAGGTAAAACCAAGAAACCTTTCTTTTCTCCAGCTGTCCCTCCTAGCTAACTGGCCCACACCCTTGCTTTCACTTCATGGAATCCCACAAGATATGCAGTAGGCTAAAATATGAAGGGTGAGCATACAGGTCCAATGTTCATGTCTTCCATATAGTAAATCTCACTTGTCTTCTTTCTAAGCTTCATCCTCATGCTGTCACCAGCGTGCAGGACCAGCGCAGGCAGAACCGATGCCGCAGCCTACGAAACAAGAAGCTGAAATGTCAGCATTCAGGCCTCCTGACTCGTCTCGGATCAGATGCGGACCAGCTTGGGGATCCTGGCAAGTTACCTAACATGTACCTCAAAGTTGTGGTGTAAAAATTAAATAAGGATAAAGTAACTAGCCAAAAGTTTGACATTCAGCAGTGCTCAGTAAGTGCAAATTACTTTCTTTCCTGTCAGAACCTGCTTTTTGGCAGCAGCAACAAACAGGAATGGAAGCTGGTATGATTACCATCTATTTATAGCTGCTGTCCTCACAGCAGCAGGCGCTTGACTAGGAAGCAATTCCCTTTTAGTATATTCAGGCCAGAACCTGGGTTACTGGAGTTGGGGGCTATTTCGTTTTCTTAAAAATTAAGTTCTACAGATAAGCATATTTCAAGAAATAAAAGCCACCCCATAATTCTACCAGTAGATATAATCATGGTGAAATGTAGTGTGTGTAATATGTGTAAATATACACACACACATATATGTTGTTAAGTGTTGTTGAATTGATTCCAACACATAGTGACCTTGTATAGGGTTTCTGAGGAGCGACTGGTGGTTTTGAACTGCCAACCTCCTGGTTCAGTGAGTGCCACACCAGGAGTCACGACAAGAAAGAAGGAAGAAAATTCCAAAACAGATGTCAGAAAAGACTCTGAAACTTGCTTTCCAGCATAGAGATGCTAAAGCAAATGAAAGAAATGAGGAGGTAAAAGAGCTGAATAGAAAATTTCAAAAAGGCAGCTCGAGAAGACAAAGTCAAATATAATGAAATGTGCGAAGAACTGGAGTTAAAAAACAAATGGGAAGAACATGCTCAGCATTCCTCAAGCTGAGGGAACTGAAGAAAAAATTTATGCCTCGACTTGAAATATTGGGAGATTCTTTGGGCAAAATATTGAATGATGCAGAAAGCATCAAAAGAAGATGGAAGGAATACAGTCATTGTACCAAAAAGAAATGGTTGATGTTCAACCATTTCAAGACGTAACAAGTGTTCAAGAACCAATGATACTAATTAATACACTTAATTGTGTTCATGCGGAAACTGTACATAGACAAGAGGCAGTTGTTTGAACAGAACAAGGGAATATAGAATGTTTTAAAATTAGGAAAGCTATGTGTGCCAGAGTTGTATTCTTTCACTATACTTATTCAATCTTTATGCTAAGCACATTATCTGAGAAACAGGATTATATAAAAAAAACATGGCAACCAGGTTGGAGGAAGACTCATTAACAACCTGCGATATGCAGGTGATACATCCTTGCTTGCTGAAAGTGAACTGGACTTAAAATACTTATTGATGAAGATCAAAGACCACTGCCTTTGGTATAAGTTGCACCTCAATGTAAAGAGAACAAAAGAAACCTCACTATTGGATCAATAAATAACATCTATATAAATTGACAATAGACTGAAGTTGTGGAAGACTTCATTTTGCTCAGATCAACCATCAACACTCATGGAAGCAAGAGTCAAGAAATCAAACAGCGTATAGCACTGGGCAAATCTGCTGCACGAGACCTCTTTAAAGTGTTCAAAAACAAAGATGTCAGTTTGAGGACTAAGGTGTGCCTGTTCCCAAGCCATAATATTTTCAATAACTTCATATGCATGTGAAAGTTGGACAGTGAATAAGGAAGACCATAGAAAAATTGATGCATTTCAGTTATGGTGTTGAAGGAGAATATTAAAAGTACCATGGACTGCCAAAAGAACAAACCAATCTGTGTTGAAAGAACAGCCAGAGAGCTCCTTGGAAGCCAGGATGGCCAGACTTTGTCTCATACTTCAGACATATTATTAGAAGGGACCAGTCACTGGAGAAAGAAACCATGTTTGGTATATTGGAGGATCAGAGGAAAAGAGGCAGACCCTCAATGAGATAGGTTGGCACAGTGGCAGCAGCAATGGGTTCAAATGTAACAGCGATTGTGAGGTTGGTACAGAACATGGGGCAGTGCTTTTGTTCTGCTGTGTACAGGGTTGTTATAAGTTGGTACTGATATCGCACTTAACAACAGCAATATGCATATAAATATATATGCATTTAGAAGACCTTGTCTAGGATTTCCAAGGAGCAATTTATGGGTTTGAGCTGCCGATCTTGTGTTTTGCAGTCCAGTGCTTATCCTATAGTGCCACACGAGGAGTCCCATATATATAACTGTTAAGTGTTATCAAGTTGGTTCCAAGTCATAGCAGTATTGTATAGGGTTTCCAATATATAGGGTTTCCAAGGAGTGGCCATGGTTCACAGTTCAGTGTTTATCCTACAACACCACACCAGGACTCCCTATATATATATATAATTTGTGAAGTGTGGTGACTCCATAGGATAAGCACTAGACTGTGAACCTCAAGGTTGGCGATTAGAGCCCACCAGTTGCTCCATGGGTGAAAGATGAGGCTTTCTTCTTCTGCAAAGATGTAAAGCCTCAGAAACCCTATGTTGCTTTGTTGTTAAGTGTCATCGATTCCAACTCACAGTGACCCTGTATAGCATTTCCAAGGAGCAGCTGACTGGTTGAACCACCGACCTTTAGGTTAACAGTCCAATGCTCATCTCATAACGCCACACCAGGACTCCAGCAACCCTATACAGGATTGCTATGAGTTGGAACTGATTCAGTTTAATAATGGCATTTAATAATAATATGTATATATTGTTGTTGTTGTTGTTGTTGTTGTTAAGTGCCGTTGAGTCGGTTCTGACCCATAGCAACCCTGAACAGGGTTTCCAAGGCTGTAAATCTTATATTGTTGTTAAATACTATATAATATTAAGTGTTGTTGAATAGGTTTGGTCTCACAGCAACTCTATGCATGATAGAACACAACACTGCCCAATCCTATGCCATCCTTATAATTGTTATGTTTGAGCTCATGGCTGCTGCCATGGTGTCCATCCATATCCTTAAGGGCCTTCCTCCTTTTCACTGAGACGAAGCGTATCAGTGCCTGGGTGACATAAATGGCTAATGCGTGACGACTAACCAAAAGGTTAGAGGTTTGAGTCCTCCTAGTGAAAAAAAGGAAGACCCCCAACGAGATGGATTGGCCAAGTGGCAGCACTGATGGACTCAAGCGTGGCAACAGTAGTGAGGTTGGCCCAGGATCGGGCAGTGTTTCATTCTGCTGTGCATAAGGTCGCTATGGGTTGGTACCAACTCGATGGCACCTACCTAACAACAAGTGACACCTTGGAAGAAAAGTCTAACAAATTACTTCCAAAAAATTAGCCTCTGAAAATAGAATTGAACCCTATGGAGCAGTTCTACTCTGACACGCCTGGGTCATCATGAGTTGGAATCAACTGGCATATAGATACGTAAGGGCTTCAAATAGTCTGTGGAAACATTTCATTATCTTTTCATTCCATTTTTCCGTGAACTTTTTGATGTCCCTAAGCCCCCTCATGTACATGTAACACAAATATACATGTGTATACAAGTGTATATAATATAGATACACATTTTTTTAAATACAAATTAAATTGTACTCTACATCCTCAATATACTCTTTGGTTACCTGCTTTCCTCACTTAGGAACATATCAAAAATATTTTTGCTGTCATTAACATTTCTTCTACATCACTTTAAATTGTCTGCCTACTATTAACCACAATTTAACAATTATTAATATTTCAGTGGGCAGTTTCATAAACTTGTATATATTCAAATTGAATTCCTGGGGGTAGGGTGCTTGTGTCAAGTGTGAAAACATTAAAAAGTATAAAACAAGTTGTCATATCGCCCTCTAAAGATATATCAACTGTATATTCCCAGTCTTGTTGGCAATTTCAATGCTACGGAATGATTTTTCACATTATTAATTTATTCATCAAATATATATTAATGGCTTACTGTATGGTTACTTGCATCTGATGGGACCCTCCCCAAGAATCCACACCCACTTCCGACCTTGGGCACACCCTCTAAACCAAAACACTGCCAAATTCCCAGCACCTGCCTCAGCTGCTGTCTGGAAAACTAAAACAGAAACCCTCTACAAATGTGGAAAACCTTCCACTCAAATCTTCCCCAAAACACTCCCTGCTGACCAGTTGCAAGCCACTGGTCCTCCACTTCTTCCTGCTCTCTGGTGGCATCAGCTATGGCCTGGCGTTTCCAGGGGAAAGTTCAGCTTGGGGGCCTGCTCCTCTCCCTCCTTGGATGGGTTTGCTCATGTGTCACTACAGCCCTGCCCCAGTGGAAGACTCAAAGTCTGGAACTGAATGAAATGGAGACCCAGATGATGGGGCTCTGGGAGGTCTGCGTGAATCAAGAGGAAGTTGCCTTTGTGTGCAAGGCCTTTGACTCCTTCTTGTCTCTGCCCCAGGAACTCCAGGTATCCCGGATCCTCATGGTCACCTCCAATGGGCTGGGGCTGTTGGGGCTTTTACTCTCTGGCCTTGGGTCCGAATGCTTCCAGCTTCACAAGATCAGAGGAGTATTCAAGAATTGGTTTTGCCTGCTGGGAGGGATTTTGGAGGCATCAGCTTCAGTCACCACCCTCTTTCCAGTTTCTTGGGTGGCCCACATCACAATTCGAGACTTCATGGATGACAGCATCCCTGAGATTGTGCCTCGGTGGGAGTTTGGTGATGCTCTCTACCTGGGCTGGGCTGCTGGGATTTTCCTGGCCCTTGGTGGACTATTCCTCATCTTCTCTGCCAGTTTGGGGAAGATTGTGTCCTCTCTCTGGATGGCAAGTCCCAGTGTGTCACCATCCAGCGATGCAGTCGATGACTCAGCGGTCTCCTTCCACCTAAAACCAGGACCTAGGACCTTGATGATCTAAGACTGACCTCTGCCAAGGCATGTCTGAAATAAGATGCCAGTAGAAGGCTTTCTCTTCTTTACCCATCATCACTCTATATTGGTTTCATTTGGGGAGGGGGAAGGGGGTGCAGTTACTGTTTCATTTGCTTAGGATTTGACTGTCTTGGGCTCTGGTGATATGGTGATGGCAACTTCAGAGTAAAAACACAAGGCGGTGTCTAACAAAGATGATTTTGTGATTTGAATATGTATTTATCAAAAGAATGCTTTTCACCTCTCACATGGGTAGCACACATGTGATCCTCTATTACTAAAGAAAACATTTTACAAACTGAGCCGTCATCGCAAACCTAGTGGAGCCTCGTCACTGAGAATATAGATAGACAAGCTGACGAAGACGCCTTGGCAAATGAAGTGTTGGTCTAGAAGAGCACCCTGTAGGCGCTCAGGATAGCAGCCCTCTCTGCATCCATTTTCAGTGACAGTTGCACAATTTGAAAGGGAGCTTTGCAACATACCATAGCTGTTTTATAGATTATTAATATCCCAGAGGGGAGGTATATTGTTTCTGTGACCTTCTCCATGGTCTGCTCTGTCTTCCAAGCTCCAGGGTAACAGCAGCAGTGAGAGTAAGTGGTAGGGTGAGCAACTATCCCAGTCTTCCGGAGTCCTGGGACTCAGAACTTTTAGGGCAATAACAAGACAGGCCCAGCCAAACCAGGATGAATGGGTCATTCTAGAGTGGCTGTGCCCAAATATTGCCCAGTGTGGACATGTATATGAAGAGAAATATCAGCTTTTCAGAAATGTCTTTTATCTCATGCATAAGTGCAGTTAACTCCTTAAATTTTTACCCAAGTGCCAGAGGAACTACCAAAGACGTGGTTACAAATAGTTTCTAATAACAATAACCCAATTTCCTTTTCTTGCCCCACCTGCACCAACAGGTGCCTGACTGACTACCCCACCCTGGATCTTCCTTGGGCATTTCTGTGAGATCTTAAGGAGGAGTCTCATGCTTGCTCACAAACCTGTCTGTCAGATAAAATCACCCACAGTATCCACCCTGTCCCCCCACCCCACCCCCAGTCCCTTAACCAGTTCAAGGAGAGTCACCATTGGCTCTCCTGAGAATCCCCACAGGAAAGCAGCCAAGAGTGACAGCTCCCAACGTCCCCAAATAGGTCACTTCTTCAGGTTCAGAGAATGCTGGAATCCCTCAGAACTGAGGAGACTCCCCGCTCCCCAAGCAGATGCCGTGCTTGGCCAGTTGATATCGGAGGGTTCTGTGCCGTGCTTAGAGCCCAGCATGCCTTTCAGTGTCTCCACTGAGTAAATGAGCATGTCAATGCAGCACAGTCCAAACCCCTTCTTAGGAAAAAAAAAAATTTATTTTTTTGAGGAAAAGTAATCTGTAGAGGTGCAAATTTGTCTTCAGCAACTTTTACCTTCTCACCTAGAACAGGCTGCTGCGGGAGTCAGTTTTTCCAGAAAATTTCTCTTCCTTTTGTGGACCCCATTTTATAGGTATACATCCAATAGCCCCTTAGGCAAATAAATTTCTTAGTACAAAGGGACAAGTTGCATGAAAGCTGTATTCTGGTCTTCTCTCTTAAATCACAAAACTGCTTCGGATGCCCACTTTCATCAGCTACTCTATCACAACTGGGTTGAGTCAAATTTCCATCAGGGGTGAGGCTCAAATTTCTAAGTATTTCCTCTGGCCTCATAGTATCTCGAAGAAAGAACCATTTAATCATTTATCTATCCAATAATTTATTCATGTACAATTACTCAAAACAAATGTTTGAGCACCTACTATGTACCAACCATTGTGCTTAGAACCAGGGATACAAATGGTAAACAAGACAAAAAATTTATTCCTGTCCATCATTCAGGCAAGCAGGGAAATAAATATTACTATAAACATCACTCAAATAAATGTAAATTGGACTATGTCAAACTTTGCAAAAGGAAAGGTACTTTTTCTATAAAATCATGCAATAGGGGAAATTTAACCTAGACAGAGAGTGATGGATGGGTACCTGTGATGGTTAATGTTACATGTCTACAGGCCATGATTCTCAGTGGTTGGAAAGATCTTTGGTAATCACCCTCCATTTGGTGATCTGATGTGAGCAGCCAATCAGTTAAGAGGGAGGTTGGTGTGGCCTGCATCCAATATACCTGGATATACTGGCAACGCTCATCCTCTTGATCCTGCATCTGACTCGTCATCCTGACCTCTGGTTCTTGGGACTTGAACCATCAGCTTTGCAGACTTTGGGACTCCCTAGTTTCTGCTGACTTACTTGTGGGTTCATTAGCTCCTGCATCCAGGTGCATCAGAAACTGCCAGCCTTTCACCTGACCCATGGATTTGGGACTTGCCAACTTCAACAACTCTATGAGCTATTCCCTTGAAATAACTCTTTATAAGGAGCTCTTGTAGCTTAGTGGTTATGAGTCAGGCTGCTAACTTCAAGGTCAGCAGTTCGAAACTACCAGCCATTCTGTAGGAGAAAGATGAGGTTTTCAGCTCCCATAAAGACCTATACAGGGTTGTTATGAGTCAGAACTGACTCCATGGCACACATAACCACCACATGATTCCTGGTGTGGCGCTGTATGGTAAGCATTCAACCACAAGGTTGGTTTAAACCATAAGTTTGGCAGTTCAAACTCACCAGCTGCTCCTTGGAAACCTTACACAGGGTCGCTGTGAGTCGGAACTGACTTGATGCTACTTAACAACAACAGCATAAATTTATATACAAGGGGAGCTTCAAAAAGTTCATGGATAAATCTTTTCATCCCATTTCCCCACAAACTCTTTGAAGCCCCCTAGTATATGCCTAACTGATTTTGTTCATTTAAAATACTCAGTCTAAGATAGTAACCTAAAACCAAACAAGCCATTGAGTCAATGCCAACTCATGGTGACCCCATGTGTCCACAGGATAGAACTGTGCTCCATAGGGCTTTCAATGGCTGATTTTCTTGGAAGACTGTCAAGTTTTTCTTCCAAGGTGCCATTGGGAGACTTGAACCTCGAACCTTTCAGTTAGCAGCCAAGTGTGTTAACCATTTGCATCACTCTCTGCATCCTATTGGTATCAGGGCCTCCTATTGGTACTCTAGGGAAGCTTGATGGCTACAAGCTAAAGGACAGGTAGTAGTTAGAGAAGGAGACAGAGAATATGTACAAAGTGAAGCTGGTGATGGGAGCAGGCCTTGCAGTATTTCATAGCCCGTGGTAAGTCTATGTCCAGGAAGCCAAGCATGTGGCCTGGGAATAACAACTCTGCTCTAATTCTAACACCTTGTCCCTGTGCAGTTTCTATCACAGTCATGTTGGGTTTGAGTTTACAAAACACCTTCATGTATCTTCATAGTTTCCTCTAGCAAGAAAGCATTTTGAGGTTAGGAGAGCAGATATGGTATGGCTTGCTAATAAGGAAACTTCAATTCAGAGTTTAGACAATGTGTTCATGTTCATCTGGGAGTAACTTGAACCTATGGTTTTGATGTCATTTTACACCCATCTTGTTTCTTCATGAGAATGAGTTGCCTCAACCATCTACCATGGGGTGGGGAATGTCTGGCCCTAGTGCCATATGTTGTAGTTTAGTGCCATCGAGTTGTTTCTGACTCATAGTGTATAGGGTTCCCAAGGAGTATCTGTTGAGTTTGAACTACTATCCCCGTGGTTCAAATTGACTTCGCAGTCCAGCACATTAACCCATAGCGCCACATTGCAAAATCATTTGGTCTGGCCCTGCCAGAGTAACCACAGTTCCAGCCATCACATTGTTGTTGTTAAGTGCCATGGAGTCAGTTCTGACCTATAGTGACCCTGTATAGGATTTCCGAGGAACAGCTGGTGAGTTTGAACCGCCGACCATGCAGTTCAAATGGCTTTGCAGGACTCCAGCCATCACATTAGGAGTGAGTTAATTAAATATTTAACAAAATGGAACAAGCTAATATTTAAGTTGATAATTTGGTATGGCCCATGAGAGATAAAATGTCCAAATGGCCCTTGGCAGAAAAAAGTTTTTCCACTCCTGATCTACTAGAACAGAAGAAATGTTAACACCAAAGCACAAGGAGAGAGGGAAAAAAAAAAAAAAATGACTTAGAAAGGAACTCCTATCCTTTGTGCTCATGTTGAAGCCCAAACAGTCTTTGTTGGTTCACCTGCTCCTGCTGGTAGCTTGCAGCTCCCACTCTAATCCCATGTTCACAGATGCTGATGTTTTCTTAATAATAAGATATGACTTCCTCTGCAACAAAATAGACACAAATGAAAGATGTGTTAAGAAAATAACTTGTCTTTCTAAGTGTCCCTATAAAGAATACCAAGGTTATTTTTTTAAAATAGGGTGGGATGGGATAGTTGATTCCCATGTAGCAGATGGCTTCTCTTCTCCAGGAGAGAGTGGTATCTGCATTCTAGTGAGCACCTACCTGCTTTTAGAGAAGTCTGAGCAAGGAGAGCAACTCACCTAAAACCACCAGTGTGTATCCACCTGCTTTGCAGGAGAATAAAATTAGACGTACAATAGAACTAATCTAATCTTATAGCTTCAGCTCAGTCTTTTCTCCTAAAGATTTGTGGTAAATCAGTCTGACATTAAAAACAGTTCTTCATTGTTCCACAGGGAGAAGTGCATAGTGATACGTATTAGAAACAGAAAAGGACAGAAGCCCATCAATGCTTAAGGGAGTAGACTTGTTTCATTTGACGTAGTTAGAATGTGATCTGCTGCAGTACCATTTTCTCCATGGGTCTACCTTTTCTGAACTTTAAAATATGGTTTTAAAAAAGCAAGCAAAAACAGAACAGATGATGCACAGCTGATTCTGACTCATGGAAACCCCATGTGTGTCAGAGTAGAACTTTGCTCCAAATGATTTTCTGTGACTGAATTTTTGGACATACGTTGCCAAGTCTTTTTTCCCAGGCATCTCTGGGTGGACTCCAGCCCTTCAGGTATCAGTTTAGCAGGGCAACTG